CGAGAACACTCAGTCGACTAGCAAGTACGTGCACACGTCAATACCACCACAATCTATCCATCACTACCTCACTGTCTCTTACACTCATCCATCTACAAACATCTGCACAACTCACTCTCAATCACTCACTCACCAACCCACCCAATCAATCAATCACTCACTCAACACACACACACACCAATCAACATCAAACACAACACATGACATTCATTATTTCACTCATCCACATCACTCAATCACACACTCAAACACTCAATCACTCTCTCACATACTCTCCATTCATTACACTGATTCACACTGTCTCAACCAGTCACACACTCTCTCACTCACTTATTCCATAAAACAGACATTCACTCAGTCAATCAGACAACTACACACATTCAATCACTAAACAAATCACACACATCATTCCACATGCATCAATCTGTTGATCAGCCACAATCAAACAACAATCATCAACGTGAACACACACAACACAAACACTTAACCACATGCACTACCCATTCACATCAATAATGCATCAGTGCGACAATACACTGAGTCAAATCACTGTGACTTACCCAGTGGTCCGAGAGTGGTTCGTCTTCTCCTCCTTCGTTTCTCCTGACCAACAACTACACCCAGTTTGTCCGTCACGTTCACCAACTCCTCTTCTCCAGGTGTCGTCGATTCGCCTACAACACACAACGAGAACACTCAGTCGACTAGCAAGTACGTGCACACGTCAATACCACCACAATCTATCCATCACTACCTCACTGTCTCTTACACACATCCACTCTACAAACATCTGCACAACTCACTCTCAATCACTCACTCACCAACCCACCCAATCAATCAATCACTCACTCAACACACACACACACCAATCAACATCAAACACAACACATGACATTCATTATTTCACTCATCCACATCACTCAATCACACACTCAAACACTCAATCACTCTCTCACATACTCTCCATTCATTACACTGATTCACACTGTCTCAACCAGTCACACACTCTCTCACTCACTTATTCCATAAAACAGACATTCACTCAGTCAATCAGACAACTACACACATTCAATCACTAAACAAATCACACACATCATTCCACATGCATCAATCTGTTGATCAGCCACAATCAAACAACAATCATCAACGTGAACACACACAACACAAACACTTAACCACATGCACTACCCATTCACATCAATAATGCATCAGTGCGACAATACACTGAGTCAAATCACTGTGACTTACCCAGTGGTCCGGGAGTGGTTCGTCTTCTCCTCCTTCGTTTCTCCTGACCAACAACAACACCCAGTTTGTCCGTCACGTTCACCAACTCCTCTTCTCCAGGTGTCGTCGATTCGCCTACAACACACAACGAGAACACTCAGTCGACTAGCAAGTACGTGCACACGTCAATACCACCACAATCTATCCATCACTACCTCACTGTCTCTTACACACATCCACTCTACAAACATCTGCACAACTCACTCTCAATCACTCACTCACCAACCCACCCAATCAATCAATCACTCACTCAACACACACACACACACCAATCAACATCAAACACAACACATGACATTCATTATTTCACTCATCCACATCACTCAATCACACACTCAAACACTCAATCACTCTCTCACATACTCTCCATTCATTACACTGATTCACACTGTCTCAACCAGTCACACACTCTCTCACTCACTTATTCCATAAAACAGACATTCACTCAGTCAATCAGACAACTACACACATTCAATCACTAAACAAATCACACACATCATTCCACATGCATCAATCTGTTGATCAGCCACTATCAAACAACAATCATCAACGTGAACACACACAACACAAACACTTAACCACATGCACTACCCATTCACATCAATAATGCATCAGTGCGACAATACACTGAGTCAAATCACTGTGACTTACCCAGTGGTCCGAGAGTGGTTCGTCTTCTCCTCCTTCGTTTCTCCTGACCAACAACTACACCCAGTTTGTCCGTCACGTTCACCAACTCCTCTTCTCCAGGTGTCGTCGATTCGCCTACAACACACAACGAGAACACTCAGTCGACTAGCAAGTACGTGCACACGTCAATACCACCACAATCTATCCATCACTACCTCACTGTCTCTTACACACATCCACTCTACAAACATCTGCACAACTCACTCTCAATCACTCAATCACCAACCCACCCAATCAATCAATCACTCACTCAACACACACACACACAAATCAACATCAAACACAACACATGACATTCATTATTTCACTCATCCACATCACTCAATCACACACTCAAACACTCAATCACTCTCTCACATACTCTCCATTCATTACACTGATTCACACTGTCTCAACCAGTCACACACTCTCTCACTCACTTATTCCATAAAACAGACATTCACTCAGTCAATCAGACAACTACACACATTCAATCACTAAACAAATCACACACATCATTCCACATGCATCAATCTGTTGATCAGCCACAATCAAACAACAATCATCAACGTGAACACACACAACACAAACACTTAACCACATGCACTACCCATTCACATCAATAATGCATCAGTGCGACAATACACTGAGTCAAATCACTGTGACTTACCCAGTGGTCCGAGAGTGGTTCGTCTTCTCCTCCTTCGTTTCTCCTGACCAACAACTACACCCAGTTTGTCCGTCACGTTCACCAACTCCTCTTCTCCAGGTGTCGTCGATTCGCCTACAACACACAACGAGAACACTCAGTCGACTAGCAAGTACGTGCACACGTCAATACCACCACAATCTATCCATCACTACCTCACTGTCTCTTCCACACATCCACTCTACAAACACTGCACAACTCACTCTCAATCACTCACTCACCAACCCACCCAATCAATCAAGCACTCACTCAACACACACACACACACACCAATCAACATCAAACACAACACATGACATTCATTATTTCACTCATCCACATCACTCAATCACACACTCAAACACTCAATCACTCTCTCACATACTCTCCATTCATTACACTGATTCACACTGTCTCAACCAGTCACACACTCTCTCACTCACTTATTCCATAAAACAGACATTCACTCAGTCAATCAGACAACTACACACATTCAATCACTAAACAAATCACACACATCATTCCACATGCATCAATCTGTTGATCAGCCACAATCAAACAACAATCATCAACGTGAACACACACAACACAAACACTTAACCACATGCACTACCCATTCACATCAATAATGCATCAGTGCGACAATACACTGAGTCAAATCACTGTGACTTACCCAGTGGTCCGAGAGTGGTTCGTCTTCTCCTCCTTCGTTTCTCCTGACCAACAACTACACCCAGTTTGTCCGTCACGTTCACCAACTCCTCTTCTCCAGGTGTCGTCGATTCGCCTACAACACACAACGAGAACACTCAGTCGACTAGCAAGTACGTGCACACGTCAATACCACCACAATCTATCCATCACTACCTCACTGTCTCTTCCACACATCCACTCTACAAACATCTGCACAACTCACTCTCAATCACTCACTCACCAACCCACCCAATCAATCAATCACTCACTCAACACACACACACACACCAATCAACATCAAACACAACACATGACATTCATTATTTCACTCATCCACATCACTCAATCACACACTCAAACACTCAATCACTCTCTCACATACTCTCCATTCATTACACTGATTCACACTGTCTCAACCAGTCACACACTCTCTCACTCACTTATTCCATAAAACAGACATTCACTCAGTCAATCAGACAACTACACACATTCAATCACTAAACAAATCACACACATCATTCCACATGCATCAATCTGTTGATCAGCCACAATCAAACAACAATCATCAACGTGAACACACACAACACAAACACTTAACCACATGCACTACCCATTCACATCAATAATGCATCAGTGCGACAATACACTGAGTCAAATCACTGTGACTTACCCAGTGGTCCGAGAGTGGTTTGTTGACTCCTTGGTCTGGTTTGCTTTCCCAAAACTCTTCCTTGCTTATCAGTCACGTTCACCAACTCCTCTTTTATATTTGTCGTTCTTACATCTATAAAAGATACCGAGATTAATTGTTTGTTTAAAATTTTTTCGTGATGTTTCTCATCTTTAGTCGTTTTTTTATTTCGATTTTTCGTGTTTATTTCTTTTTCTTTGCTTTGATTTCCATTTTTAATTTTTGTCTTAATGGTCTCATATTTATTTTCTGCCCTGTTATATCGTTCTTTTTGTTGACTAAAATTTTTTATCTAATATCTCCCTTTTTACCACCTTATCCAATCTTTTACCTCTCTTCATTTCTATCTCTCTTCTTTTGTACTGATCTTTTTATTCCATTCTCTTTGAGCTTGGGTTTGTGGTCTTTACCTTCATCTTTTCATTTTTCAAAGCCTCTGCCGAACATCTAATGTCTGCCATTCACTCACTCGATCCGTCATTCTTCGAACACCGACACCACCATAGACAATTGAATTTTGCTTACTATCTCTCATCGCTCTCATAGTGATCGTAGGCGCCATCAAATCAACTACAAAATACTCACATATTCTCAAGTATTATCATTGTATATGCAAAGTCAATCAATGCAATTATTATATGTGGTATGCACACATATATTAAAGACAACTAACCAAGATCACATCATCTGCATTAATTCACAACAAACGATCAATTGTATAATGGCCCCATTTTTTATTTAAATAAGCATGTCTTTTATTGATACCTCTTAATCTATTAAATGTTGCTTTCTACTCTCTTTCTCTATCTTTTTGTTGTTTCTTTCTTCTCTATTTTCTTTCTCTCAGATACCTTCTCTTTCTTAGCATATTTTCTTTTAACCATGTTTATGCTTATTACTCCTTTTAAAGTCATGCTGTAATACATCAATTGTGTGTGTATGTGTGTATTTCTTTTTGAAATTTTTACTTACCATTCTTTTCAGTATATTCTATTTTCTCCTTCATGTTCCATGGTGTTGTTGTTTTAATTTTTTCTTCTGTTGGTTGATATTCTGTTTGTGTATCAATAATTTTGACGTTACTTGTTTTCTCTATTTTAACATTTCCAATAAGCACTATGATTTGAAAAAAAAAATTTTAAAAAAAGTTACTAGGTGAAATTATACCGTTTCTTATTTTCTTTTTTTCTTTCTTCTTTTCTTTCTTCCATCATTTAAGAATGAATTTTTTTTTTAGTTTATTGTTTTTATTCTCATTTTTGCCCATAGTTTCTAATTTCCGGTTGTTTATTTTTAAGTTACTATTTGATTCAATTTTGAAACCTCTTTTTTCTTTCTTCTATAGACCATGAAAACTTTGCTTAGTTTTATTGTGCTCAGAGTATGTTTATTATGTCTTGGATATTATGTTTTGTTATTATTCATTTTAATGAATGGTCAATAAGAGACTGATCAATTGCAGTCCTAAACGTCAATGGGAAGATTCAATCAAACGAAACTAAGTGAATCCATTTTAATGATAGGTTTTTGTAAAAATATTTTCCGGTTACCAAATCTCCCAGTAGATAAACTTTTAATTAAGAATTTTTATGTTATTCAATGAATTTTTTTCTTATCAGAAGGGACTTTTGTGAAGATTTTAGTAATTTTATAGTTGAATTGATGAGTCAATTGAAGTTAGACAACCATGGAAAACCTGTAAGCAATAGACGGCCATTTCATCTTAATGTGGGGCTCCTTAACAATGCGCATCCACGATCCCGCCTCGCGAGATTCCAACCCAGGACGTATCAGTCTCGCGTATGAGCGCTTAACCACTAGACCACTGAGCTGTCCAATGCTTCCAGATTTTCCATGGTGGTCTAGCTTCAATTGACTCATGATCTCAACTATATAAAATTACTAAAATCTCAACAAAACCCCCTTCTGATAATTTTGTATAAGTAAACAATGCTAAGGTTACATTTGATAGTTTCAAATAAATTGAACATTGAATAGAAACTTAATAATAATAAATAGATTTGTTGTTTATTATAATCAAATGAGTAGGAAATTTGTGTGTTTCCAACGTTTCATAACTTAATCTAATCTATTAAATACGAATAATACACATTTTCCTTGAAAAAAGCTTGGACCAGATTGCCAGGTCAAACGTTGGATTTACATCAACTCGGCGCCCAAATACTGCGAAACTATTCATTCTAATTTAGACGAACGTTCTTATATAATAATCTAAGTTAATTCTTCAAGAAAAATACAATTTATTACTCATTAGAATATAACCAAGAATAACTTGTTTTTTTTTATGTTTTACAAATTTTTTTTTATTTTTATTTTTCAAAATTATTTAAAAATAATATAAAATCAAAAAGATAAAAACTAGTTTAATTTATGTTTTTATCCTACTAAAGACATAAGTACAGGTAACTTCCAGGACCTATTAATGGACTATCATTCTATATGTATTCTTATTGTTTAACTATTGAGTAATTAGATTGTGTATATCTATATTCATCTTATTATAAGTTTCATTTTGATCTATGGATTATTATTATACGATTTACTGTGCCTAAATCATATTCAGTTTATTGATTATTGTATCCCACGTTCACAGCCATACTTGGCTTGATCTTGTACAAATATTATTTTCTATTAGATGGTGTGATGCTATCTGTCTGTCTGGTATATAAACCGAGTAGGCTTGAAATGATTCGCATAGCAGAAGCTGTAATTCGTGTTCTGGACTCAACTGGAAGGGTTAGGCGTACTAGGGACCAATAAGGATGCTAAAATACTCATACTGGTCGAACGTCATTGATTTGTCGCAGTGTTAAGATCACAAAAGTCGTATCCCGACTGGTGGATAATTCACGTGATAAAAAGCCGGACATAAGACCGCAACAAATTAGCATACAGACTTCTTTTATAAAGTCATAACACTTTATTAATATGATAATTTATGAAGTTTATGATAAATTTTGGTATATATTACTGATAAAAATATACTACTTACATGGATTTAATTTAGGTAAGCATTTTGCATCGAAATTAATAGATATAGACTTTAATTCATGACTTGGTGGAATTAATTGTGCAATAGGAATATGATGGATTATTTCACTTTTGTTTTCAAGTCCAGCTGAAATCGCAATAATAATAATAATAATAATAATAATAATAATAATAATAATAATAATAATAGGTCTTAGTATATTTTAATGAATAGTAAGTTAAATAGGATCAATTTATTGATAGAAACTTTTGAGAAGATAAAAAACAAAGATGATAATATTTAGAAGGGGATTTGTGGAGATTTCAGTATTTTTCAAAGTTGAAATCATGAGTCAATTGAAGCTAGATCTCAAAACAGACGTCTCACAACCACGTCTGTTGTGAGATATCAACTCACTGAAGACAATTGGTGAATGGTTGCTCAACTTCGTGGATCAGTTGAAGTTAGACGTTAACACCGTTGGATGCCAGCTCAGTGGTCTATCGGTTAAGGGCTTCGGCTCGACAGTGGTAGGTCCTGGGTTCGAATCCCGCGAGAGTGGGTTCGTGGATGCGCACTGCTGAGTCACATAATAGGACGAAACGGCCGTCCAGTGCTTCCAGGTTTTCGATGGTGGTCTAACTTCAGTTGACTCATGATTTCAACTTTGAAAGATGATAAGTTCAGCATTTTATTCGAAATCCACTGGACATGATCTTACTGTATTGATCAGTTTACTCTAAAATCAATAAATTTCATTGATCTCAGATTCTTTTTGTTAACAGATTCTATGAAGATTAATTTTATTGATTAAAGAATCCTGCTTTAACAGAAGAACTGAATATTTTAAGTGATTGATTGTTCAGTTATATAACTGATAGATCCTGTGTTCGAATCCCGCGAGAGTGGGTTCGTGGATGCACATTGCTGAGGAGTCCCACAATAGGGCAAAACGGCCGTCCAGTGCTTTCAGGTCTTCCATGGTGGTGTAGCTTCAATTGATTCATGATTTCAACTATAAAATTACTAAAATCTCCATAAAAAGCCCTTTCGGGTAGGAATAGTGTTGTTAAAATGACAATAAACAACAGTAACTATTGAAGATATGATTTGAAAAGACAGAATGAAAGTGAACAATAAAAGAATATTAACATTTGTGATCATGAAGAATTTAGATTAAAAACGTCTGTTTTGTTGTCACCAATTCTAAGTTATGTCACTTAATGTAGCTAATCACTGTTCAGTTTTATTACGCACATCACAACCATGAACGAATCTATCAATAAGGTTTAAATCAACGCTCAATAACTTCGTTGACTGACATTGATTGCATGATCTTTTTAATATATAGTGTACCAAAGAATAATGTACCTATTTATATTCGATAGTTTTGATATTTAATTATAATTCCCTTGAAAAAATGTTGAACTAGATTGTTAGACGAAATGTTGTATTTACTCCATATTCTATGAGAACTTTCGTCTAAATTAGAGTGAATCGTTACACAGTATTTGGGCTCCGACTTGATTTAAGATATTAAATCTCAGAGAATGAATTTGAAGTAGATCCAACATTTCACCTGGCAATCTGGTCCAATCTTTTTCGAGGTATTTCATTGAGACTTTATAAATAGATTCTTTCTCTTTCATATCTCATATTACCTCATTGCTCAAATAGTTTGAAACTATTCAATCAAATTTAGATGAAAGTTCTTATGTAGATTTTATTTTCTGATATATATAATGTTAAAATTATAAAATACAAAATTTCTACTAATCAGCAACAGCCTACTTTGGAAGAGGACAAACCAACATCCAAATGAAGGAGAAATTAGGAAAATATTTTGAAAGTGGATAGGACATCCATTAAGGAAATCACTAAACTACATAACGAGGCAAGAAATTACTTGGAATCCTGAAGGGAAGCGGAAAAGAGGAAGGCCAAAACATATATTACCTCTGGAAGTAGAAGCAGATATGAAATGGATGAATAACAATTGGAAAGAACTAGAAAGGATTGTCCGGGACAGAGTTGGATATAGAATGCTGGTAAGTGGCCTATGCTCCTCCATGAGGGGTAACAGGCGTAAATAAGTAATTAATCAAGACACCACAGAAATAAATTAAATAGAGAAAGTCATTGTTTTATTGAAGAAGAACGAAGAACAATTCAGCGAAGAAAATTTCCATTTCAGGGATTTCATTAACTTAAGTTGTACAACAGTATTTATAGTTTATTTTATTTACTAAAATAGTAGTCTATAACAATATACAATGGTGTAGAAATGGTATACTGTCAATACTTGAAATGGCAGATATCGAAGGGAAGTTATGTAATGATCGGCTAGTGAAAAGTGTTAAGGTAAAAAATAATTGTCCACTTATTAGTTGTTATAATGGCTTATTATTAGTTGTGAAAATAAAGTGGTAAAGGTTAGAAACAATAATTTAGAAAATCCATAAGTTATGAAAAATAGAAAGGAAGATTAAGACAATGGAGGAAGAAGAAGAATCAGAAATTAAACATATATACTGAAAGGTTAGACTTCAGTCAGTCAGTCAGCTACAACGTAGGACCAGGCACATATATGCATCGGTCCAAGTTGCCATACCTCGTTAGCACAACAAGATCAACATCGGATTCATAGAAGTAATTAATTTAGTGGTGGTGGTAGTATATAAATTATAGGTTGTATATAAGGATATAGTATAGGAAGAAAGTTATGAGACAATTTTAATCTCAAGATTTAAGGGAAGATAAAGAGTGTATACACCTACCCCATTGTGATCGATTCTGAGCCATGTCACACAGAGTCTCCAACCATTGGTTACGATAGTCACACGGACCCCAACCAAGTAGTCTGCATCTGCCAACATGGCTCAGACTAGAAGTTAGTGACTTCAAGCATTGATGCCATGTTTTGGTTTGGCCGCCCCTAACTCTCTTCCAACCATCCCCAATACTAGTCATCATAGCGCGTCGTGGTAATCGGTGTTCAGGCATACGTAACACGTGGCCCAACCATCTCAGTTGATGAAGATTCATGAAAGGTTAGACTTAAACTGGTAGATAGTAATACTCTCTGTTGTATATACGTTTTCCATCTATATTTTTGTTCAGCTGACTCTTCTAAATGTATGCATAATTTGGAAGGAGTATTCTGATAAATCGGTATATGTCGAATTAGCTAACTGTTCCAAGATTGAACTTTTAACTGAGTTCTATAGTGTTTTACAAATCCTTAAGACACTTTATTCATCAGCACTCTATTTTATTATAGACTATAAATACTACTATAAAGCTTAATTTAATGAAATTCTATTCATTGAATGGCTTCCACCCATATTCTTGAATTAAACTTTTCCTATTCATAAATGATGATAATTAATTCAGTAGTAAAATGAAATTTTACAAAAATAAAAATAAAAATTATTTAACTTACTTGAATTAATACCAGATTTATTGGCTGCTCTTTCAGATGGACAAAGATGAAGTGAAAGTGATTTAATTGGATTAGCAATTGCTGTTCCATTTGAAGATTTATTGGATAATGCTGTTGTATTATCTTTTAATAAAAAAAATGAAAGTATACAAAGATTAGTTGAAATAAATATTAAAGTTACAAGCAAAGATGGACAGTGGCTAGCAGTGGAATCTAGGACGCGCGTTTCGTCCTATTTGGGACTCATCAGCTGGATGTACCTGCATCTCAGAATTACATCAACTGCTAGCCACTGTCCATATTTGCTTATAATGCTTGTGAATTAAGGCTATATCGAGACAATCCACACAGTTTGCAAATATGCCAATAAAAGACTGATCAATTGTAGTCCTTAACATCAATGGGAAGTTTCAAACAAACAGTACGAAGTGAAATATTAAAGTTTTTCTTAGATCCTCTACAGATAGTTTAATAAAACAGAATAATGAAAAGATAATTTTCGAATGGCTAGAGAACCAAATGAATTCGAATGGTCAAATAAGATCACAGGATAGACAAACATCTTCCTCTATTGCGAAACATTTAGTTGAAACTGGTCATAAGGTTGACATCAAATCAGCATTTGTAGTGTTGTACAAAAGCCTTCAAGGACGTATACTAAGGTTTATTGAAGCCTTGGCTATACGGAAATTGAAACCCCCTTTATGTGTTCAAAAACAATTTGTTCTTACCCTTAACCTACCCTGGTAATGCTTATTTATTATCCAGAGTAGTCATCACATTGTTTTTGTGTACTTTATTTATTTTCTTACCTTTAACCTGTCTAGTTGACCTTTTAATTTTCATATAAAAATGTCTTAACAAGTATATGTGTGATCAGATTGTTCGAAATGTATTGCGCTAATATATCACATAATTCTGATAAACTTCGTCTTCTCATTGCATTATCGAAATTTATCAAAGGGAGTAATTGTTTGAAAAGATAATTTTCAACAACAACAAAAAACAAACCATCCTATAATAATTTAGGTTACTACTATCAAGAGAAATGTATAGTCCATGTTTACAATTTTTACATGCCTAGGACAAAGTTGGATAGAGAATGCTAGTGAAAGGCTTATGCATTTTCCTTTATTAGAGGTTACAAGCGTAAGTAAGTAAGTAAATACAGTTCTCAAAGATGATTTGCTTTTTTCAATCTAAATATCCAACTAATGAAGAACTATTCAGATAATTAAAATAACCCTTTGTATCTTTTCTTACCCCTTGATTATTATACAATGTCATTGGATAATAAGGATCTCAAATCAGTTTTATGATGTAATCAATTCCATCCTTTTATAAGAATATATTTTCCATATAACTATAAATATAAACGTGCAGCTTAAGTAAATGATTTCATTGAAAAATAAAGGTTTTCTTCGAAGAATAATTCATATTCATTTGTATACTTTATCATGTAAATTAATGGATATAGATCAGAAGGGCTATTGTGGAGATTTCAGTACTTTCATAGTTGAAATCATGAGTCGATTAGAGCCAGATCACCATGGAAAATCTGGAAGCACTGGACGGCCGTTTCGTCCTATTATGGGACTCCTCAACAGTGCGCATCCACGAACCCGACTCGCGAGATTCAGACCCAGGACCTACCAGTCTCAAGTCAGAGCACTTGACCGATAGACCACTGAGCCGGCTGGCATCCAACGGTGTTAACGTCTAACTTCAACCAATCCACGAAGTTTAAGCAACCGTTCACTAATTGTCTTCAGTGAGTTGATATCTTACAACAGACGTGGTTGAACTCCATCAACTTAAGAAAATTGAACTTTTACTTTTTTTTAAAAAAAACATTGAAAGAAAAAGAAACAAAGAAAGAAAAACTCACTTTCCACTTGACTATTATTTTCAAATTTACAACGGATGATTTGAAGACATAATGTTATCACTAATAACTAAAAGGGAAAAAAGAAATTATAGAATAAGTTATAATGAACCTATGAAAATTAATCAAAATTCTCACCTTGATCCATAGATCTACCATTACAACTAACGATGAATGTTATGGGAATAAATTTTTCGAGGATTTATATAGTACTTAATTGTTTAGGTAAAACTAATATTCAATAAGTAGTCTAGACAATCAATAAAAAGAAATAACAATTATAGACTAATTTGATATTGGGCGAACCGAATATTCAGTATTACTATTATTATTATTATTATTATTATTATTCCTTATTGTTTAACTCAATGAAGCCGAAAAAATAACTCGGTAATTTGCTTCATAAAGATCTATTATTATTATTAATATTATTATTATTACAAATATCTTGGCCTCTTGAATGTATATCATTCATTGTCAATTGATTTAATAAATTATTGAATATTGAATTATGGAATTGAACATTATCCGTATTTTGATTTTCTTTTCCTTATAATCTAAAGGATATTTAGACAAATCGGAAATTTAAACAAAACAACAACAACAAACAAACAAACAAAAACATGGATTCGTTCCATTATAAGGATCCTTATTAGGTATAAACGGTCTATCATAGTTGAACTCATGATTCAATTGAAGTTAGACCATCATGGAAAACCTGGAAACACTGGACGGCAGTTTCGTCCTTTTGTGAGACTCCTCAGAACTGCGCATCCACGAACCCGCCTTGCGAGCGCTTTACTTCTAGATCACTGATTTGGCACCCGATGGTATTAATATCTAACTTCAACCAATCCACGATGTTGAGCAACCGTCCACCAGTTGTCTTCAGTGAGTTGATATCTCACAACAGACGTGGTTGAACTCCGCTGATCACCGCTTCTAAAATTACATTATTTGAAATAAAAAAAATATCCAGGATATGTTCAAAAAGGAACAATAATTACTTATGAGAAGAACAGATAATAATACATTGTATTAAATATAGTGAAAATTGGCACATGGTTTTTATATATTGAAAATATAGGCATGAATAGTAGTGATGGTGAGACCATAGTTACTACTACTGGTACTACTAATGTGCTGTATGCTACTGATATCAACAGATATAAGTAGTATGTATCACTAATCGGAAGTGGAATTTCTGGAGGCAGAACGTTGAGAAGATTGTAGAGAAGAGAACCAGAACAAAAAGTGATTGATGTGGAAAAGAAGAAACAATGAAGTCTCTGTCAATTGATTGACATTTTACAAATGAATTATTTAATGTATAGTTCTCAAATTTTATAAAGATATTCTGAAATCTCCTGTTCAAATATGTCTTGTTGTCCGCACTAGTTTTCTCGTTCACTACGCTACTACTAGTGATAATAGCAATAATAATAATGATACAAAGAAGAAGAAGATTAAATTAATAAACAAACAAAGGGTGATATAATCGTACTCAAAATATTAAATGATCATATAATTAAATAACATAATTAGAACGGAAAGAACATTAAGTTGTGAGCATTAATAAGATTGCATAAGAATAAAATTATTTCATTACAACCCTATTTACAATAACAAAGAGGAACTATATAGCATTTTCTTTGTCAACAAGTGAGTCGGGTCGAAAATGTCTGATAGAGATTGGTACTGTAAAGTAAAATAAAATATGAAATTAACTATTTACAATCATCTTTTATTTTTTCTTTCATTATGTTGCAACATATTTGGATTCACTGTTGTATGTTTGTTCAATAGTCTAGAGATTAAGAGTGACAGCATGAAACCGAAGATTCTGAATTCAATAGACTCTGGTAAGAAGTTTCATACTAGGATAAATCATTTGTCCAGTATTTCCAGGTTTTTAACGGTAGTCTACCTAAGACCAGTTTCATGATTGAAAATCTATGAAAATTCACAGATTTATTGATTTTCAAGATAACCATTTATTGATTTTCATGTTTTTTTTATTATATTTGTGATTCATATTATCAGAAATCAAATTTCTAGTTTCAGTATATTTTTTCGTCCACTCATGGTATAAACAAAACTCGAGTACCTTCCTTTTTTGATAATAAGATGATCAATTTCAAATAGTAAAAATGATAAAAATTGTGTATTTTACAAATGAATTTAATGTAACTCAAGGTGCTTCTCAGAGGTGGTCTACATGATAGTCTGTACTTCAGTTTCATACTATCTGGTACTAGTTAATGTTGTACACCGGTAGTCGTGAGAGTACTGATGCTCCCTAACGGATTTGACCCTGTATCACCAAGATTTCTACTTATGGACGTTATCATAGAGGGGGCCTTGACTGACTTCTTGTAGGACTGAGATACATTTATAATTTACTAATCACTGATCAGTGGCCAATGTCATGTACGCTGAATTCTTTTAGGTGCTGATCTAATTCTATCGAACAAGTCAGTCACTACTTAGTGATCACTCGATTGTAAATAATTGGTCATTTAACTAAAAAAATTAAAGAATAATCCATAATGGAAAATAAGAATAAGGTCTCAATAGTGTAGAATGAAAAGTAAAAACAATAAAATAGTTGGAAAATGTTGAGATAATGTGATAGAATAAAAGAAGGAACAGCTGATGAAAGCTTAACAAAAAATGATAAATTCGTGTTATTTTTAATAAAATGCTTATTCTTGTTCTCAGCTCTACCTGTAGTTCTTCTTAGGTTACTGCCGGCCCAAACCTCAGATAAAAGAGGAGGTCCGAACATGGAGTCAGCAACCATATCCCTTAGAAAACAACCTTGTTTAAAAAAACAATAAACAATTTAAATCATTTAAACTCTGCCATGGATGTTGAAAGACCATCATTCAGAAGTTATTCTTGTTCTCAGATAATATTACTTACTTACTTCCGCTTGTTACCTCTCGTCGAGGAGCATAGGCCGCTCACCAGAATTCTCCATCCAACTCTGTCCTGAACCTTCCTTTCCAGAAGTGATTATATATAGAAAGTTTATGAAGATTTTGTACATTCGTATATTACATCATCGAATGATCTTATTGAAATAATTAATGAAAATCTCAAGGTACTGTATAACTATTTCTTCCCTAATATAGAACATTGAAACATTATGAACTCACAATTCTATTAAGGATCTAAACTCAGAAATTTCAATGCTCTTACAGAATGAAAACACAATTATATGAAGGAAGAATATTCTTTTCAAGAATTTCTCATCCAGTTCTACAATTATAAATCCAAATTAATAATCCATAAAAGAAAATTGGCCAAGTTTAAGGCAGAGTACATCATTTAAGAAACTGTAACATATGAATCAAGGAGTGTTGTTTGTCATAGAAAATCAAATCGAATCGTCACTGTTCGGGGTTGACTAATATGTAGTGTTAACTTGAATCAGTTTATAAGTGAAATAAAATCGTAAGATAAACGATCAGAATATATGTAGTTGACATAGGGTGAGATAGAACAGTGGGATTACAAATCAGAGATTACGTAATATGATTAGATGGGGTAGATGCTGAATAAATTTCTCTAAAAGGTTAGCAAGTGTGATGATAATAATAATAATGACAATGGTAAGATGTATAGATAAAATAAGTTTAGGATATAAAAATGAACATTAATCAAATTAATGTCACCATATTACAAAATTGAATATTAATAAGTTGACCCTGAAGTTGGCCAGGGTAAATTGAGCGACTGGACGTATTTGTTTTGGATGCAAAGCTCTGGCTTTTTAATCCGAATAGCAATTGCCTCAGCCGTCTGCAGGATTTTCAGTCTGAGGGAATTAGGTAGACTGCTGTTAACACGATATATTATTGTGAAAGATTGCTCGATGTTGGCTCTATGTTCCGTTTGAAGTAAATGAGCTAAAATAAAGCTGTTAACCGTTTTAACTACACCTCCCAGTGTGGTTAATCAAAAATTATTGAAAAGAATATTCTTCGTTCATATAATTGTGTTTTAATATGATGGGAATTTTTCAACGATTAAAATCTTACAGAATGGTTAACTAATAAAACTAATTCTTTTTTGTTTTTTTCATCATTATTCCATTAATTGATGCTTAACTAATTACGTATATATAGAAATAGGTAATAGTTTACCTATTGTTTCCCATTAAAAGCGAAAAAACAAAAAGGACTAATATACCGACTGTATATTTATGATGAAAACTTATGGTTTATTAACAATATAATAATAATAATTCATGTAGTATTGTTTGGTTGAATCTTCCCATCCATGTGTTAGGACTGCAACTGGTCAGTCTCTAATTGGCATATGTGCATACTGTGCGTATTGCCTCAATATAGCCTTAATTCACAAGCATTATAAGCAAAAATGGATAGTGGCTAGCAGTGGAATCCAGAACACGCAAGGTACTGGGTTCGAGTAGTGGAGTGAACATCAATTCTGAGATGCAGGTACATCCAGCTGACGAGTCCCAAATAGGGCGAAACGCGCGTCTTGGATTTCACTGCTAGTCACTATCCATCTTTGCTTACAATAATAATAATAATAATGTCAATTTATATAATGAAGAGACTTTTCCTTTGAAATAAGATTGAAGAGTATAGATAATATTGAAAGAAGTATTCATATATATTGTGTTTATTTGAGATGATAAAATATATGAATTATATTGATATACTGATGTAAAGATACATTTTAAGGCACGAATAAATCCACGAGTCCATCTAACTAGATCAACATTGAAAACCCGGAAGCATTGGATGTCCATTTTGTCCTGATATGAGACTCTCTTAGAGTGTACATCCACGATCTTGCACAAATGACTTAAACTAAGGATCTTAGGTTTGGCGCGAACGTTTAACCACTAGACTACTGAGCCGGCATCCAACGGTGTTAATATCTCGAGCGCGAGACTGATAGGTCCTTGGTTCCAATCTCATGAGGCGGGATCGCGGATGCGCACTGCTGAAAAGTCCCACAATATGACGAAACGGCCCGTCCGTTGCTTCTAGGTTTTTCATGGTAGTCTAGCTTCAATTGACTCATGATTCCAACTATTTAAATTACTATAATATCCACAAAACCCCTTCTGATAACAATTAATTGCTCATTTTTTTCAATTTCAATTAGGTAATAGTGAT